AAAGTCAAATCTAGACTCGTTACAAGGCTCATGTACTCACAAGTAGTTACACGCATATTTCTTCCTGCAGAGCTGTTTTGATCAAAAAAGATTCGCGAAAATATCTACAAGAACCCTCAGGTGGGTGGGGTAATATTCGAGTCGAGATTTAAGATGAGACAAGATTCCCAAGACGTCTAAGCGTCAATGGCAATTGAATTAGCGGACGAGCGATCGGCTCCGGCGCCGCGATATCGCGTAATTAAGTCTGCAGCCCTTTCGGCGCCACAATGCGAGTCAGCGAACGGAGCGGATTCCCCGCACAAAGCGTGAACCGAACTAATGGCGTGTACGTAATCCGCATAAGTCCTTCCATTCAACGGGAGCTGGCAAATTTTTCAACGATGATTTACTGAGCGTCTGAGCCCGCGGACGCTCGTTCGGCGAAACTGCGACTTAAACGTTCCGAATCAAATGTACGGGAATAGAGCAATTATTATTCAACTCGGTTCCGGTATTTCGCGGAAAGTTATTGTCCAGCTTATTTCCTATTCCGTGCTAGCTTCCACGCTGATACCCATTTCAAACGTGGAAGCGACTTTCGACTTATGAATTACTTAGCCGTAATGTTACACGGTTCAAATACACCTCTTTGTCAATTTCCTAGCTTTTAGAATATAGTATAAGTGTGTGCGGCGAGCGTGAGTTATTTAACTGTAATGAACGAAAATATAACAAAGAACACCATAATGTACGTTTTGTAAACAGATGTTTAATTATGATGAGATAGATTGATCAAACGGTAAATAAATGAACAGAGTAAATTAAATCAAAATCTGGCAAAATATTGTTTGAATATAAAATGGCGGATTGCCGAATAACAAGGATACAATCAAATATAGGCACAATATTCATATTGTGTTTATATTGAACGCGAGCGTGGCTACAAAAATAGGTGCCTATAGAAATCGAATGAAGCCTCCATAGTCAGTAAACGTAAACTGCCTGAAAAAATGAATTGGTTTCATTTCCACTGACATACAGCTACGATGTCACAATGTGTTCGCTATATTGCTTCATGCATACTGTAAAGGCTTGAAAATTGTTTAAAGGCAATGCATTCAGGGATTCACTTGTATTTTATTCATTCGTTTAGGCATCAAATGACGAAATATACATAATAAAAATGGTTCATGCGATACGGTACTGTATCCATATAAAGTCGAATAGTCCAGAATAAGAAGGAGGATAATTCACAAAGTTAAAAGTATTTTCTCTACGCGCTCGAAGACAAATGTGCACCTCATAATATTTCACCTCACGTAGACATAGTTTGTAATAACATAATATGTTATTTTATCTAAGTAACCCGTCCTTGGGGTCTTTATCGTTAAACAACGACTAATATTGTACGTTTCCAAATAACATATTAAGTATATTGAAATAAAAGACTTTAAAACGTGACATATCTTAATAAACTGTGTACTACTCGCGTATACTCCAGACAATACTCAATTATTATGTTATATAACGCAGAAAGTACATAAAGTATAACTCAAACGGAAACGATTATATGGTCCAGATTACACCTAATCAGTGATCATTTCAGCGTCTGGGCCTAGATATGATCCCGAACGTTAACTATGAAACGAAACTGACTAAGCTTGAACGCAAAGCTACCTTATTAGCTTAGATGTTCTGAGTTACAATGAAGTTGTTTCTATTTTCTACACAAATTGTAATATTATTGGAAAAGAAAAAGTTAACGGTAAGGGTAAAAACATTGAGTATAATTTTTCTAGCATCTCTTACCTCCCTAAGACGGTTTTTATGTTCTGCAATGATTAATAGCTCCAACGCTCAATACTCTACTGATGTGGGTAGTTTTATATATATGAAAAGGCGATTCGTACTATATACCTACTCAATATATAATTATCGGGCCCCTAGAAAACGTACTAGGTAAATATTTTATAACTTGACTTGACAACGTATTAGAGGAGCCAATGAAAACGAATTATGTTTATGATGCGATAGATCTTTGAAATAATTAAACATTTGAGCATTATGCTTCGTTGGAGTCCAGTGGTAATGATTGTTTCATAAAGGTCGAACTTATAATACTCGGCGGAGTTCTGTTCGTCATTCTCTAGTTTGCAATTCATGAACTACAGCAAAAACATTGTATCCTCAAATAAAATGTTATTTGTTTCAATGTTTTGTTTCATGCGGGGAACAATACACTGTAACGACTAAGCTCATTCTATTCACTTTTAATAGCACGAGTCACACACTCATTCGATTTAAATTTTGTGTGTGAAGGATTCGCTTTGTTGTATAATATTAATTCCATTGGTGTCCGACAAACGAGTTACAACATCTGCTAATTAAGCACTACCTGTGGCCGTTCTAAACATTTTAACGAGATAAAATACGGATTCAATCCACTATTAAGGTATGTTTTAAAACTTTTAATGATGCCAGTGTTTTATTCTCAAAAAGATATTTTTGTATTCGAGTTGAAGCAACCTCGCCTTTCAGTAACATTCTATCGTTTGACATGTTTTGGCATCTTTATTACTCTGAAGTTTATTTTTGAAAGTTTAAATAATTCGATGATCCGATCGATGATTCAGGATAAATATTATTTACAAGAAATTAAAAACAGTTTTTAAAGAGAAGACTTTTTATCTTTGTTTATCGTCAAGAGACGAGACTTACAGAAATGTAAGTCGTTCGAATGAGGCTCGGTTATTCGACTTGTTCGCATGTAAGTCGCGATTACGTCACATAAAAACACTTGTTACACAGTCGACACTTAACAGTAGAAATCGATCACTCTCCTTCGCCATGTTTAGATTGGGCAAATTAAGGTGGTTTGTTGAGCTCCTCCACGCAGAGAGAAATAACGATAACTCTTCCTAACATTTGTAAGGATTATTTCATGACACCACGCACGACTTCTTTAAGTCGCCTGATTTGAAGGAATCTTTTCTTTGTGCTTTTCTTTTATATTATTATGATAATAAGTCGTCGTTAGGCTGCGTAACGAGTTCGCAGCTTTTAATAAAGACGGATAGTGTGACTCCATTCTTTTGCATTTCGCGAAATTGGATTCGTGTAGATTTCCTTCGATCTTAAATAAACAAAGGAGATGTTTTCGTTTTGCAATACTAGATCCAAAGCGACCAAAACTTTGTCATAATATCATGAATAATTCGTGCTAATTAGAGATTTGTCAGATAATCTTAATGATGATAGCAGAGTTCCCGATACTGGTGGCTTGATTGACACCTCTCGTTTAGCTAATTTTCCGCCCAATCACTTAGTCCGTGACTCGACGGCTTTCACGAAAATATTACGAACCTTATTAACTTTCGAGTGGATTAATTTCATATTCATTTTCGGGGAGATTAATGTTCGAATTTGCAATTTTGATCCCTATGGATCCTTTGACTTTGAGGTCTCCGAGGTCAATTAATAAGTAACATCTATACGATCAATCTTGCCTCACAATAAGCTTACTTGCACGTTTATATTTTCAATATATTAAAACCTCGGCCCTTAATGTATTCCTTTTGTTATTTCGCAGAAAATTACTTTAAAAGGTTTCTTTCTGCCTTTGATCAATGGTCCTGTATATGTATTTGTTAAGCGAGCTTTTGATAACATTATCTTAGGCATTTTAAAAATGTAAAGCAAACTTATTATTTTGTTTCGAGGAACTTTCGAGGGAAGAGGCAAAATTATGTACGACTCGAGTCAAAAAGCTTTCAAATTAATGTTAATGCCGTTTGGCCGCTTGATGTCAATAAATTAAATTATAAGGCAATTGCCTGGCGCAAAATCGATGCATTTACTAGCAACACGGATAATTGCATTAATTATGTTTTGGAAACGCACGACATAAAAGTATATTTAATTGATTGTTCTGCGCAATCATGTGATGATAAAGATTGGTAGAGTCGATAGATTTTTTTGGATTCTCATTAAGAAAATAAAACCAAACAAAATATTTTATAGACAATTCGTTTAATATTTTTTGTAACGACAGGATAATAACGTAAATACATTGCAGGAGTAACTGTATTTGACTAGAAGCGACGTTGACAATGTTATTGATACAATAAAAAGTTAAAGATACTATTTAAACCGTCCACGAAATTCTTTACTTCGCGTTTTCATTAGCCAAGTCATAGTCACGGGGCCCAAATTAAACCGCTACCAATATACGACTGCAGCAAGAGATAATGTTATTGTCTTAAAACATGTCGAAATAGGAAGTTACTTAAATACAATTGATAGTTTACCTAGAATAAAAAAGCTAATCAAAAATACTCGTAGCGAGATGGCGTCTAGGCTTTAAGTGACATACAAATGAAAAATGGTTTTGATTTGATGTTACTCCTGTTACTTATCGGTGAGAAGTAATACGCGTACAATATATTACTATTCATTTCGCTGTATTTACAATGCCTTTTATATCACCAAAGGATTTTCGATAAAAATAGCGTTAAACATTGATCGTAATCATCGAGAATATAAACGTCTGCTTCTACACATAATTCGCAACAGCTCTCGTTATATGGTAACAATAGTATTTAGTTTCATAAAAATAAACCAGTTTACAAGTTTCGAATTTCGCCACAAAACAATATATTTACTAGATATACTAGGACAACATTATTCACGAGAACAAAACGCAAAACTCCAGAACATCAGAAAACGGTTCAATAAATATGATAAACATGTGTCATTCGACCTCGAATTAGATAATATAGTCTTCATTATCTTAATATAGTTATATACATGTCGCTTAAATCTAATTATTATCACGTTACACGCTAGATGAGTGACTTAGACTTACATTATTCATTTTCAACTGGAATTATTTCTATCTACAGTTCCAGATTATAATACTGAAACGAATACTGGGAAGTGTAAAAAATCAGATCGAACCGTAACATTTAATTAAAAATCAGTCGCCGGGAACTTGTTCACTTACAGTATTTTGCGCCAGTTTAGAGCAGTTTAATTAGGCGCAAGACGATAGTCGTAATTGTCAGCGACGCAGGATAAACGGAGGCGGCGTTGGCCGTCGTTAGGATTATTTTACCTTCGTTTGCGTACCATTTGTTGGCGCGATCGGGGACGCGATTGCTTTTCTCGTCCACTTTGTTCTCAAAGTCTTCGTCGTATATTTCCGTTCCGTACTCCTCGTCCGAAGTCGTCCTGTCGTCCGGGTCGTTAAAGATATGTCTATCGTTTCCTGGGATTTCTGTATTCATACATTTAGGCTTGTTTTATCGCTTAAAATGTATTAGTTTATGTATAAATAAAAGTAGCTAAGTAATTTGCGGTACTAATTTAAAATATCAAAATTGATTAAATTAATAAATAAAAATCGATTATAATTTCAAAAAAATACCACCAGGGCAGGACTTGAACCGGCATCGTTCCTCGCTGTTGCCCTAACCAATTGAGCTATCGAGTCCTACACGAATTTAATGAAATAATTTAAAAGTGATAAAAATCTCACAGCATCTAGAGTTCAGTTCACCAACTGACCGAGAGTCACTACTCTAGTAGTAGGTAATTAGTCAAGCAACGCACCGTACAGCCGAATCTTGCTCTCGACATCGCCGAGGGAGTTTTTCGCGACACAGATGTAACTGCCGAGGTCTTCCCTCCTAATGTTCTTGATGGTCATGGACATTTCGGCCTCGAACGTGGACTTCTGCCTGACAGTCATCTCGTGGTGCTCAGATGGTATAATCAATTCACCTGCGGAACAATTTATTACTTCCAATATTTGCTTTCAAATCCAACATTAGAATTTCATCTCTCCACTGCGAAGTTTTATGAAAAATGTAAAAAGTTTGAGCAGACACCTTCAGTTCTATATCCGCTTTATAATTTGTTTCGTGTTTCGGGATTTTTAGCTCGGTTAATAAATAATTGGTGGCCGTGCTCACTCCAACGTTTAATGAAAGTCTTGCTACTGAGATTTATGCTTCCGTCAAAAATGAGAAGAAAATAATATAATAAGTCTTATACACATTGCGTGAACACTTGTTGTGTTTAAGATTCCGTAATAATTAGAATACTGTTTACAAAGGTGGTAATGGGGTGATCTTATTTTTCACATCAAAACTTGTGTGAGACTTGTCTTAACAGTAAGAGTGTTGAAAGTTTGGTGGCGGGTAATGTCTAACTCACTATAATTAATGACTATTAAAACGTCTTCATAGGAGATATTGTTATCTTTACCTGGATCCTTGACCCAGTAGTTGATGGATTTAGGCGAAGACTCCACGTAGCATTCGAGCGTCACGTCAGTTCCCAGAGGCGCGCCCACGAGCTGATTCGGCACTTGGATCACTGGGTGAACTACATATACGAAATGTTATTTATGTAACAGAGTTCACGAAAATCTAAAACTAACGGCGCCTTAATTTTGTTTTTAGACGCTTTTAAAATACAGTTGATATTAGCAGTCCTTTGTTTTATAATGCTATTAGATTTTATGAAAATTAGTCTATATTGCCAGCGTTCAGTAAATTAATTAACCGCTGAAAGATAATTAAACCTCTAGACGCTTAGTTATTTTCAAAGTCTAGCTTACTTTATAATAATTAAAACAATATCTGATATTTCAGAATTTGAGACGTTAATGATTTTTAATTAACCTTCGGCACACTTCACTTCGGGGGTAGACCTGGCTCTAATAAGCGTGGATTCATCGTATCGAGTTGCCATATTTCGAAGCAAAAATTCTTTCTATAAAGACACGCGAGGCGAATATAAATGTTGGGAAGGTATTAACTTACAGTGAACACTAATGTGGATCCTCTTACTGACGGTGGGTGGCACTCCATTACCGGCGATACACAAGTATGTGCCCATTTCTGAACGCGATATCTTGGTCAGCTTCAGGACCTCGCCCTGGTACGTCAGAACTGCGAACGTACATTAATTGCCACATTAACGCCAATGCGGACAATAGATCGATTGTGGATTTAATAACGAGCGTTTCACAAGATTATCCTCTATACCTACGTGTCACTCGTTACCGTAAAATACGCCGCTCTAATAATATTAAGGGATAATTGTATGCGACCGCGGCGTGCGGTTTGCGCGCGGTCGGGTGAGTCCGCGTCGGATTCGGTAAGAATTTTTTAGTGATCCGTACAAAGGTTCGCACAATGAGACCTAGGAGTCTATTCAGCGCAGAACTCTACTAATTACGACAAACTTTAAACAATACTGGACGCGAAACTCATCCCGAGAATAGTCGCCGCGCAGCTCATTGTAGCGCCACAAATGCGGTCACAGACATTCGTATTATATACATATTCAGAAAAACAATGCTGTCCTTGCGCTATTCAGACAAAACTTAGACAAATAAAATGTTTTTCTGCCGTTCTTGCCGAGTTGAACATTATTTGAGGTCTACGCGTGAATTCGCGCGAAGCGCACTGCATTTCGTTTCGAGAGAACAGGATGTGTGCGTATTTTTAATTAGTTTACTAGCGTTATTGGTCCGAAACTGCGTATTCATGATTTTCTTCGACGTTACGACGTTAGTAATGTCAGAAATTTAAAAGGTGTCGTCACAAACAGTTTATAACAAAGTCCTCCTTGATCTTTTAAAAATAGAGGCCTGTTGCGTGAACTTTTCACAAACGCTTTAGGATGATTTAAACCTTGAAGTAAGAAAAGAGTGTAGGCAATTATTTGGTAAGCTAGTTGTTCGTTTCATCTTATCATTAAGGATTATTATTACCTCCGGCTTTTTGTAATGTTAATGGAAAACACAAAGAGCCGTGTAGGCATATGAAATGATTACTTCGGCCGTCGGTCGATTATGAGTACGTTATTTCAGTAATCGCCCAAAAGCAGCGGCAGCGACGCCTGGTCGCTTTCGATCACTGTTATTCAACTCTGCGTGTATAAATGTTGATTTTATCGCCGCGATGTTTGTGTTCGAGATTACCCTACATGTGTTATTTACGAAACAATGCCTCGCCTAAATGTTACCGAACTCCTTTTAAGGAAATTATATTTTATTATCTGTGTCGCATTCTTCGTTATAGCTACACTTTCGTTTGCGATGTGACAATCCATATCTTTTTTAGCATATATAATATATGAGTAAAAAAGTAGAGCCATCGCCCTGTAATGAAATATTCTTCACTGGAATCGCAAACTTAAGCCAATGAACACTAGCACACATAAGTTAAAATCATTGTAACCTTTCGTTTTTATTCCAGTGTGATCTCTAACGACAATTTCCTGTCCATCTTCTCTCTTCCACATGACCCTGGGCGGAGGGATGCCCCGAGCCCTACATGACACCCTCGCTGTCCCTCCTTCCGGTACCATGGTATCCCCCGAAGTCTCTTCCGGTATGAAGTCCGGTGGTATCACTACTTCTAAGTACCCCATCTGAGCACAAAGCGTTATTATAACTAAAACGACGGTTAGCCATGCGGTATTATGTAACAGTTATTAATAAAGTGTAACACTTGTAACGAAATATAAGTAAAAGCAAGAAAGTTCTTTCGTAACAAAGGAATTCCAACATTGAAATGGTCATTGTCTAAAGTAAAGCATCGTTTCGGCGAGAGTAAATATAGCTGAAACCATGATCACCTCAAATTAAAATGAATTCGAACAAGTGAATCGAGCCACTTATACGATAATCTGCTCACAGACGCTGTTGAATGGCCTCTAGATTCAGCCCAATTTATGAAATCGCTCTCACAAAACAAATTATGTCGAATGGCCGTTCATCTCAATAATCACATTTTAAAATTAATTGATGCCTTTTCAGTGTACAGTGTATTGAATTGGGTGAACACTGAATAGACGCCGAGGCGATTCCGTCTAGAGCAGTATTGCTCTATTAATAGCTGCGCCGAAACTTTAAACATATTGCGGATTTATTTAAGTCTGACATCCTGATAGTGCAATATTACCTTTATTAATATTCTTTTTTTATCCATCCATCCATCACAGACTACATACGTATTCTTTAATCATATTATCATTATAAGAATAAATTAAAAAAGAAGGCATTTTTTATTCTCTTTGTTTTCGCTATTAAAATAGACTGTTAAATTTACAATTTGACAATTTAATCAGATTATTGTAAATATCTGTGAGTAAAAAATAATTCAATTTTATGCGGGTCGTTGCTAAGCAAGACAGCTTACTTGGCTTTTCATAGGATCAGTGTTAATCTGGCACATGTACTGTCCCCGGTCTTCCTCTTGCACGTTCTTGATATGTAGGTACCAGGTGGAGTGGTCTGCGTGCGAAACCGACACTCTATGGTTGTGGGTGATTACGTGCTCGTGGATCGCTTGAATGGCCTTCGTGTCTGCTTTCACCCAGCCCACCTAAAAGAGTCGATTTGGCTTCATTATAATCACAACCTCTGTTTACAAATTTAATATTGCTGGCCGAAGACACACGGTCGCCCTTATCGATTACTAAAGAAAGGGATTAGCTATATTTAATGAGCTACCGTATCTCCAAATATTTAATTAATGCAATCAATACTCATATAAGGACCCGATATTTCACAGACTACGCGCCTAGAAACATACAATAAAAATACGAAAAGAACGGGAATATACAAAATTAAGAAACATTTGATTTAAAGTATAGACTAGTTATAGTAAAGACAGTTTTTTGTTATTAATGGGATAGAATACAATACAAGAAGTTTTAGTAGATAACAAGAATACACACTTTCTTTCGTGAAAACGCGTTTTCTAAATCAGCGTGTGCTTTCATAAATAACTTTTAGTTGATAGCACATCTAGCTCGCAGTTCTCACAAAAAGTAGTCTTGACCTTATGTGAGAAATGGTTTAAAGGAATCTGATGTTATTCCTAATCGCAATAATCAGAGAGAGAATAAGACGTTGTACGGCGCGTATTCAGCTCGGTACTCACTCGGTAATTGCCCAAATTGACGACAATACACTTGAACGTCGCGTCTCTGCCGATGGGGACTGTCAAGTTCGTGATTGGCTCCCCGAACTCTGGTACTTCCACACCTCCTGCTTGAATTAAATAGATTAGTGAACAGCCAGCTAGCGCTAACTCCCTTAAACAATGCGTTCGTGTCCCAATGAAGGCTCATTGTTGTAATGAGGCCCTAATTAAAAGAGCGTAGCCTTTTTGCCTTTCTTTGTGGAAATGGTTACATGAATTCGGAAACCGGTATTTTCTCTAATATTTTTCTACAACATAGGAATTTGTACACCTGTCTTTACTTACAAATTCCTACCAGTTTGCTTCGTTTTCTAACAATATAAAACACAGTTAATTGTTAATCTTGCTAATTTGTAACGCTTTTAAAATGTACAACTTAATATTAAATATTAACGGACAATTATTGTGGAATTGAGATTTGACTAATTGTCGACAGTGAAATCGATAAGGGTTTCAAGCATTGTCTGGATCGGCTTTAAAACTAATGAACGGAGAAGTCTAGTAAGTTCCCCGGCGCGGCGTTATCAGGGCTGTCACCACAAACTTACTCGCTCCGCGATACTGTCGACTGCATTTGCACTACAAAGTCCTACGAGAGTGTGTCAACGAAGCAAACTAGTCTTCGAAGTTATGTACTTGAAAAACTGATAAATAACATTGGCGGATGATAATTAAAATTTATTTTATGACATACGACAAATAATATGATTAAAATCATAGTTTATTCTTTTTACTCAAATCGACGATAGCATAGACCTTCGAGACGCGACACTTACGAGTGTAGCGGCCTATTTTGCTCGTTTTAATGTCAATATTGCTTCGGGTGTATCATAAATGTTACTTTAGTTTGGTGCAAAAATGTCAACACCGTCAGCGCGAAATAAAAGTCGCTCGCATAAAAGACGCCCCCCATTCCTAAATATATCGGGCGACATTGTAAGAGTGATACAGTCACAATGTTTATCGCAGTTTTACGTTGCAATATTCAAGTTTGCAATTTCGACGGTGATACGTTCATAACTTCAATGAAATTACCCATCTTTCTGCGCTTCAAGGAGGCCATATATTTTCCGCGGAGACAGCGTCTGCGACGGCGACCATCGCGCAAATGATAAATCAGCATGGCACACAATACGGAGCAAAAAGTGCCCGCTTCACATATTCGACATTTAAATATTTAAATCAGTCCAGGATATGAAGGAATCCTCGGCGTAACGTGCGCCTGAAGTATCGTACAGTGTTTGGAGAACGCCGAGCAGATTTAAAATGGACTTAATTTAATGGAAAAGTAAATGCAATATGCATTTAAACTACCACTTATACTCTTTATAATTTGGATTATTATTTAAAAAATGACGTTTATCGGGATAGGCGTAAGTAAACGGGACGCAATGCGATCACGCCGCGCACGCATGCAAAGAAATAACTGCATTTGAGTTTTTACAGCAGACAATGTTTCCTGATTTGCTTGTTTAATTTAAATGGAAACTAAATGAAAGTTCCAAGCGGTCATTTGTCATCGGGTGGCCGGGCCGCGCGGTTCCGACGAAGCGAGTTCCGGCTGCAAGCTGCTTTTATTAATATTTCCAGCGCGAATTCACGCTTTATTAGCAAACAGCCGTCATGCGGCTGATAAATTATTAATGTGGTCGTAACACAGCTTGCGTTCTCCGATCTGCTTTTTGCAGATAGCGCCGCTCGCGTTTGTTTTTGTTCGCTGCAATGGTATATGATAGATTGCGCGAACTCACCTAATTAGATGTTCTCGCTGCATCGACGAGTGTTGTCTCGCGATAGATCACTTTTCATTTTGAGCTTCAGTTTATTGGCCTGTCAGCATTTTGTCCGCCATAATTTAACCGTGCCTATAAAAGCCGTGAAGTGTGGAGATTAAACGATATTGTAACGCCAATATTTACGCGGTCTTATAGTTTATGACTTACTCGATATTTTTGGCTGTTTGCAGCGATGTTTATAACGGCTATAAGAAATGGGGTGTGCCACACACGACGCTAGAATGTAGTCAGCACGTTAGCACATAAAGAATCGTTCTTCGCCCTGATAGAGATGCGTCGTTATCTTGTAGGAGGGTAATTTGTTTCGAAATTGGAAAGAAAAGGTCAAATTTCCAATACCTCAATGAAGTCGAGGCGTAGGTCATCACGGAGGCCTATTAGGTGCCTTTGTAATCCGACCGAAGACATCCGTACTCTGTGTTGTATTACGAAAAAATATTTCGCGATGAAGCCCGAAAGCCGTCTCGTAACATAGAAGTGTACACAATATAGAATTATCCATGTCTTTAGACGAAGAAAAATAAGTTCCTTATTTAGTATTTTGACATAATATTCTTATAATTAAAGTTATTGTAAATTAACCAACTCCTACACTTCTTGTCACAATTATTTCGTTGTGACATGTACATTGATTTCAACAAAACACTGTAACAGGTTACCCGTTACGTGTAACCTGTTACAGTGTAGTCTGTAGTCTACGCAAGTAGTTCGTTGGTGATTATATTGAGTAAATACCATTATTCACTTAACACGAGGCTTTAAAGACGCTAACTCAACTATTAATTATAGCGCTTCCGTAATCAACTTTCCTCAGTCGAGCGACAAACAAAGAGAAATTTGTGCGTAAAAGCGAAAAAATTTAGAGTTCATTAAAAATTTGGCCTCCGACTCACCGAAGCCGTCGAAGTAAACTTTTTCCATTTCTCATTTTTATAATTATCCGTACTTACTCCATATTATAAATAGGTGAGTATCGCGATATTATTTATGAGCGGAATTGTTTTTTTTGTATTCAATTCCATTATAACGTCGCTAATATATTTTTACTACTTACATGTTTTTTTTTAATTGTATTCTCCTGTTTAGTCGCAATAACTAAATAATATAATGTTGAATAAAATAAGTACTAAGAAGGGTCGTGGCATTGACTCCTTAAAAATCATGTTTCAATCTATATTTTAATTGTCACAAATATCCCACATATTTGCAAAACATTACGACCAATTAGAGAACGGGCCCTCTCGCCTTAAACTCCAAAAGTCCAAATAAAGTGGGGGTCACGTACGAGTGAGTGATATCACGTCTACGGCTCATCAGCGGCTGCACGTGACGACTTTAGCACAAACAGATTTCACCCCCCGACCGCGCGAGGCAGAGCCATTACGAATCCGGCGCGCCACCAACTTCTCCGCGTTATCCAGGAGTTAAGAGGACCGCTCGGCTCGTTCTACACTGGTGACGTTAATAATACGCAAAGGAGCAGACTCGTCGGGCCAAAGTTTTCTTTCGCCTAACTTTATTACGCCATTAGAGATCGCGTGACGGCGGAACGCACTTCTCGCCGGAATGTAATTTATTAGACTAGTGTATAACTCTTATACGGACGCGTATTGTACAAAAGCGTCTCTCAATCCACCCGTTAATAATATTATATCTATGGTCATATTATTTAATTCGCTTTCTTACGCCCGATTGTCGCAAAAAAATAAGGATTAATCTATTTTAAGACTGAATATCAAACTGCTTCACTTTTAGTTAAAGTCTTTCTTACGATTGTTATACGTGGAAAACTCCTCTAAGTAGCAAGGTACATAATGCAAAGACGTAATGGCAAACTGAAGTTCCTTTCTCTTTCAATCTCCAAAGACTGAAACAATAGTTAAACTTTGCAAACAAGTAAGGAAATTGAAATTAAAGGAGGGTTCGTATCTCGTCCGTTTATTAGAAAAGAAGGCTGCGCCACATTCACTTAGTACTCTTCGTCGTTTCGTAAAAGGTTTTACCTATCGTTACAACATAATTTCAAAATTTTACTTCTAGTAATAGTACTAATTCGGTCTCGCATCGTTTAAATGGTGGCAATTGGCAAGTTTTTATTCGAAATTCCATTTGAAAGTAAACTTTTTCACGAAAACAACTGCTAGGTGATTTGCAAAGAAAGCAAAATATTTTTCAGATGCTCCAACCCGCAAATTGGGTTAGTATTCTCTGTCGTTGATTGGCGCCACTGTCGGAGAGTTCGACGCGGCTCTGATTGTTCTTTTAGTCGAGTTCATCATGTTATTTTCTGATCCGAAGTCGAACCGCGGCAGGATTTTTGCGGACACGACATAAACATACAATTGCATAGATGTGCATCCGTGCGATTGAACAATGGCGTCGTAGCCGCGTACAAGTATTCTTTTAATAAATCGATATTTACAGTTCGAAGCCTCTCTGTAACGCATTATTAAAATGAACGACGGTGTCGAAGCGCATAATTAAGTTTACGCCTGTGTACTCTATTAGAGTTCTTCCTGTTTCTAATTGCCTCGATGGAGAATCGAGCGGATGTCAAAAGATTGCTTTTAAATAGGCGTGTTTCATCTGTATCAGCTTATTCGAATTTTAAACAAAGCGGTCTTTGTCCTGATTGAATTTGCACGATTTTGGTAGAAAATCTTTATTTCTGATAAGGTTGCGTTAAATAAGACGGTATTGGACCTATTTTGGTTCAATACGTCTCGTATACTTATACATTATGTGGACATCGGGGAGGCATGATTGATGGAGGAATTAATTAATACTTTCTGACCTTAACCGAGCTCTGTCGGTCATTAGAGTGCTGTATAGGTATGAAATGACACAAATACAAGCTAACATTGCTAAAATAATATTATATAAGTTAAAACAATTGAGTTGATATTTATTATTTTTGAATGCTGCCAAATGTTAAAATCCAGGAAGTCTTTGAAATGAAAAATAAATCACAAAGGAAAATAAAACGATTTCGTTTTCTAATTATGACAATTGTGAAGAAAAACTGTGGATATTAAGCGAGACCGCAGCGTCATTACTATCTGCCGAGCGCCATATTTCTTAACCCTTTTTCACGCCGCTCCCGAAGTTTTAATTAGTGCCAGAGGACATTATCCAGTCTTTTCCTACTTTTCTCTGGGTTAGATTTGGCATCGCGTTTCGCTCACGTGGCGGGGGAATGTTAATTTTTATTTTATCATCACAATTGACCAATTACACATCGGTATCAATAATCAATTTGCGTAACGAAACCGCACACAACAATGTATTAATATCGGCGATGATTTACGTTTCTATTCGAATGAACAGAAAATAATAACGTTATTTAAAATCAGCAGGTGGACATTAAACGTGACACGAAATAAAATTAACTTTAAATTATTAATGAAATTTCCCGTTTACAATTTTAAGTAGAACGAGGGTACATATTATTATACGTGCCTTGTTTATGATTATTCACTATTTTCAGCCTCAATATGTTGAGTAATAATTGAAAACTTTAATTTTACATAGTTAAATAAGGCACGTAGTTACTTGTAGTGCGTAGTGAAAATGCAGTCACGCGAAATATCTACGGCAAAAAGTGGTTTCTAATTTTTTTTTTCACTTGCGTAAACTATAGAAAACACGTATATATTATTATTATACGTATTTGTTACGATATCTCATAAAATAACTAATTGTGCCGTAGAACACGTAGACGCCTCGTAGCATACCATTTAGAATAGTCCGTAGCACTGGCGTAGCAATATCGAACGTTGCTTTCAAAATTATAATTAATATGTTGCATCAATGTATCGAATCTTTATCTAATATTTCGAAAAGTGTTAAGTTAAATACCTTTAATACGTTTACCCTATTGAATTATTTGAGTTCACTATACATTTTATGTGTACATATCTATTCCGTTTATCTTCAACTCGTAGCGAGTTAAGAATCCGTAATGTTAGATGGCGCTGTCGTAAAATTGTGTTGCGAGTAGCGTTTTAATTAGAGAAGTTGGGCTAAAAGCGGCTCGTCGAGGCGGTCTGTCGGCGCCGGGCACTGCTCGCGAGGCTGCCTGAAGATGCGCCCCCGTTTCGCTTAATCCTCGGCTGCGCTGCTTGAATGGACATAATTTTCCGTACTTGACATCGTGTCGAGCTCTGTCATTGAGGCGCTTAACGTACTGTTTTCCTTTTTTCCCTCGTAACTGTCCCGCAATATTTTTCATATTCCTCTGTCGACATCGACATCGGTTCCTCGACATGGTTGTACTCGACGACTGCGAAGTTCGAGCCCGGCTTTTGATGTTCAATATCAAAATTATTACTTAACGAGTTCTCCGTTTATTGTTAATTACCCTTTTGATATCGAAGAGGAATATTTTATTATTGAAAATGAAAATGTGAACCGTCTCTAAGAAAACCTCTTTGTTAAGGGATCGCCTATTCCATTGTTTTTATTCTGAGCAAATTGGCTTATGAAAGCGATTTAAATTTGCAAGAGATTCAATTTACATAACGAGCGATTTGTACCTCATAAAGATTATTAGACCTTCTGCTTCCATTTCATTTGCAGATATCTGGGCGTTTTTCTGTGTCTATAGAATTGCCTCTTTCGTTACCCCTGCTTAAGAAAATTTTATTTTATAATAATTTGAGCCGTGTTTTCCTTACTAATGGACTTACTTAGATGAGGTAAAATGGATTAATTTTCAGCTTTTACAAAACCTATGACCGTAAATATTTATTTTTTATCATATATATTATGTACCAAACTGACTTTGTCGTTTAGTTATTTGGTATTATTGCGCCATAAACTTGTAGAACGAAAACAAATGGGGGTTTCGGGTGTTTCGAGTGGCACAATCTAAAGTAGTCTAGTAGTAAATTTATAATTTACGGTTATCGCCTTTTAACTAAATAGCAATAAATACAAGAAGATAGGATTAAATCTTATCGGTCTCTAATAAAGCCTCGCGACGAGAAGTATAAACCACGAAATTTAATTTCATGTACGACGTAACACCGTCTCGTCGCTGAATATAAAATTAAAATATGACAAAGGCGAGACGGACCGACAACTACCCTCGAGGGGCTACACTTACTTAGCATTTTCCTTTTGTTTGTGACATGATTTGACAAAATTATCTCCTCATTGGAGGTATTTGCTTATATTTTTTTTCAAAAACAAATTTATTAAGTCATTGTTTTTTCTTACATAATAATAATCAATAGTTGGTTCTTGGGAAAGGTATTTTGAAATCGTTATTTTGTTTCGTTGATACGGAAAAAGTTAATGAGAATGTTGTTATTGTTGTATCTGGAACTCATTTGTCGCTTCCTCGATAATTAAAACTACATTTCGTAAAACTTTTAAGTTGGCTATGATAAAGAAAAACGATATATATTTGCAGTAGTTCATGGCATACTCAATATTTCGGAGGCAACAATTTGGCCACGTATACTGTTTTCGCCTTTGGGTGTAGGCTACCCAGTGCCGAATTTAGTTCTTTCGTCGTGTTTTATGTTTACGTTTCTAATATATACAAAAAATAGGAAAAGAAATTAGTCTCTCTAAAGAACTTTTGTAAGTTTTTTTATTTAGTAGATTCTTTAAAGCACTACAATTTAAAGAAAGTTGTGAAAAATATCTGATAATGGAGCAGAGACACAGTAGAAGGAATCAAATCAACTTCAAATGTATATAAATAAATTTGTATTAAGTCATGTATATGTAATTCAATCAAAATACATATTACTTTTCTTAGTTCGCAAAAAAATCCAATTTTTTTAATGTGTTGGTTGTTTTTTGTTGAACATTATTTTTACACTCAAAGGTGTGTCACATTATATACTTTGCACGTGAACGGCAAAGACAGAGATAGGGTATAATTAATCGATGAAATCCTGTTATTCCTTTTTGAGCCTAAAATTGTCCAATGGACAATTCTGTTTTTTAAATTGTGCGCCCTGACGGCGGTTGTCAAATTCGTTTGGGCGGGAAAAGTTCGCGCGTCATCGATTTCTGCTAATTGGATGTAACTTTTCACGAGCGAACGTTATTGACCATCGGTGGATGCCGTTCGCGTGTCTGTTGACTGCCCATATTTCACACATCACTAACTCCATCATTTATACACAATAGTTGAGTGCGAACGCTTTTATAGATCTGGTCCATGCAAATTACCGTACTTTCATAGGATTATTCAGATCCCTTTTTTCACTTTTATGTAAAACGTGTCAAACTTTTTGCTCTTTTACGAGCCCTTTATATTTGTTGCCACTATTAAAAATAAGCAAATTTTTCGCAGTTATCACCTGCCGGCAGCCGGTATGTTAGACTAAGCTGGGCTCGAGCGCGTTATTTCATAAAGTAAATATTTATGAAGGAAAGGAGTTCCCTCGTGGCCTGGTAAGCCGCCTGATCCGAAAAGACATAAAACCTCCAGGGATTCAGTTCGAGGTTCACAAAGGCAACGTCCTCGTTTTTGTTCACAATCACAACACAATATACCTACTTCTTTACAATTGCTTGTTCTTTACAATTGACTGGTATTGTTTTACGAAGTCAGAGATAGCATACGGTCAGAAATTTCAACACAAATTAATTATGTTTAACACATTTAAATAAAACACTTACGGTGTAAAACGCGACATTTCAAATAAGTTTTACTAATATCTCGCGTTTTAAGCCGTTAAAGTGTAATATTTAAATGTGTACTACTCGCGTAAACTCTAACAGTAATTATGTTTAACACATTTTTGTTTGTATTAAACATAACATTTCTGTAAAAACATGTAATTTTAGACGACGTATGCTCGTTAGCCCGCCGGTGAAAATCAAGTTATTTTTGAAAGTGTCTTAAAACACACAAAGTATGAAAAACGTTGGAAAATTTAACACAATGAGGGACCGCTGAAATAGCGACGGAGGATTGAACGCAAGTAAAATAAAAAGTAAGAAAAGCGCTTCAGGAAGGTTTATGCAAATTTAACGCGAATATTTTTTAAGTTGCCGAGACTAATATTATTATTTGAAAACAACAAGGGCTGCTCGATGAAGATACTTCTCTGCAGAACATGAAAAGTTATTATAGATGAACGTTAAATGTTTTAGCTGAGAGCTGAAGTTTCCAATTATACTTAGAACTTTTATCGTGCTTGTTTTCACGAACAACACAACACATTTTATATTCAATTTTTATTATGATAGATAGGTACTGATCTTATTTTATAAATTTAGTATTTTCTTATCTCGAGTTCTCTTCTAATATGTGATTTTCAGAACTCAAGCACGCTGTAAAGTCATTGAGTACGGTTCTAAAGGACGAGCGAATCTCAGATACGATCTTGGAATTGTTACATATAAAACCATCTTTTAGGTGTACATTCCTCTCACTCGTGCTATTATTAATGAGACAAAATAAAATTCAGTTTTGCGAAGTGCTTTGATCCTTGATTTGCAATGTCTAGGAAATATTGAATAGTTAAAAATAAATCAAACAGAAAGTCTAAACGCAATTAAATCGGTGCATATTTATCGACGCGAAGTATTATCTGAGTACCGTGTTTTCCGCTGGTCGCCGCCGCTAGTGCGGTACTAAGAACCAAGAGGTGCACCAGCATACTCCTGCGCAGCGACAGCCGCTCATCGAGCCGCACCCACCTCTTCACGCTCACGACTGAAACAAGGAAAGGCACGTTTAAATCTAAATTCGCGAAGAGCGATTTTAGTCGCCGCAAATAACTAGACTACTGTTATTAATTTTCTTACTACCTTTTGCATTTGACCAAAACTACTATAGTCAATTGTCAATACTTTTGTTAAAACCGAAAATACAGAATTTTTAGGGGCCGTCTCGACATTGATTTAACAAAGGAATGGTCACAAAGGCTGTTGTATATGTTGTAATTTAACAAAATATAAATAAAAAATTCCAAACAATACGAAGTTATTTTTTATTGTCACTTCCATATTCATAAGCGTACTTGAATAATTACAAATTTGTATTCGAATCAAGATAGCCGTTTTTTGTATGTTGTGTTTTAAAGTTAATTAAATTAACACATTATTAGACAAACCAAGGTCTGCTTAATTTGAAAAATAACTGGGATTTACAAGTACCCTTACCTTAACACAGTGTTTTTTTTCCGTAATGTTAAAGTCATGTTGGCGAAGTTAATTCAGCTACTAGCGATATAGTAAGGCGCCTACTGAATGTGATAAGAAATATATTAGTATGTGACAAATTAGGCCTCCTTTTTAATTTATCTCCAAAGCAATGACATTTAATGATTAAATAAATTTGATGTAGCTTCGTATAGTATGATCCTGTTTGTTTTGTGAAACCTTTATATTATGTTGTTAACATACGTGAAGTTAACATAAGTGAACGAGGTTAATGTTGAGTTCTAGGAATGGTTCGAATACCATTTGTTTACCGAAACGCTGCTCAAAACCGTGTGACAATTGAGAATTATTAATATAAATTGCCGCGACTGTTCCTTAGAGAAATGGTTAAACCGTCACCGAGTAGAATGGGAAACGAGTATCCATCAGAGTTTTCATTGCAAAATATAAGATAATTCCCCGAGGACCCGAGGGCGGTTTGAATAACAACTCTTTAATTGAAAGTTTAGCAATTTGCTTTACCCTCCCGAACGGACCCGACGGCGTCGGGGCCAACTTACATCCGCCGCGTTTCGAAATTGAACGTAGGCAGATGCGCTTAATTACCGCTCCAGATGCTCGTTCCCTGCCCCGGCTCGCCTCCTCGCGAGATAAACTCGCACCACAAGACGGTAGCGCCGCACTCGCCTAATTTTGTCAGAACTTTTTCATTTGCAATTTTACTAAGTACGCTTGCGAGGCGTCAACGTGACGAAAATAATTCGGTATTTATTTCGCACGGCTCCCGCTACGGAGCTCCCCGTCCATTATTAAATTGCGACTCTAAAATTCAATATGATGTGAGTGGGGAATTACAACATAAAAATGTTGCAGCGGGAAAAAGGGGGATGCGTGCATAAGACACGAGTGAATCGAGCTTCCCTCGACCCGTACAGTCGCACAAGGCGGTCGGGTTTATGCTAATCGCCCGACTTGATTCAGTTCGGATGGAGAAGGGCAGTTTTCGGCTAAACGTCTCGAACAAATCGTTCTCGATGCGTCGTCCCGAAGGCTCCGTAATGAAATGGGCTTCGGTGGGACAGCTAAGTGGATTAGATATTATTGGTATGAATGAAGGTCTCGGCCGGAATTCTGCGAGCCGCGACTGTTGTCACATTTCATAATAATAAGGATTTAAAGGCGAAATCGGCGGATTGTCCGTTCGGCCGTAAATTCGGGTTTATGTCTAATTTGTTTCAGTATTCGTCTCTTTTGCATACGAATGTAGTAAATGTAAATTTTATATTTATACAATTGTAAACCGAATAAAGCATGAAATAGCAGCTTATTTATTCGTGGCACTAATGAAAACAATGACAACTTTGGATAACGTTTATAATAAAAGACACGAAAAAGGCAGACCTATCAGGCTTACTTAAGACATTTTGTACAGTAAAGAATACACTTGGTATCATGTAATAAATCATATGAAAATAAAAAGTTGTTCCGAGTTTCGCTTGCTTAATCAATGTTTTTTTTTTAATTATTGAATTATATTCTATGTGAATTTTATGTGTAAAAAGATGTTGATAATCTAAATACACATGTACGAGGTAGACCCTCTTTAAATAAATCTACAATCTAGTATACATATTTTAAATGTTGGTTGGTAATAAGTACATCCATATATAGTTGGAACTTATAAGTTTATAAATTGCTAATCTTCAAATGAAAAATAATATTGTAATAAAAAATATGACTAAACCTAATAATAATCAACAGCACGACATTAATACGAAATATAATTTATTTTACGAAACCTTCCAATTGCGATACAAACTTAATGATATTCTTCCAGAGTGGACTATGTCGAATCTTTCATCTTCCGAGCCGTTATAAGTTGGATCTACTTAATTATAGGTCACAATTCTCGTGCCAACATAATTACGGCTATTATGGCCACAATGGAAATACACTTGGGGATAAGACAATGAAATGCAAACGTATAGTGACTCTCAACATTACAAGTGTCGGCTCTACGCAGATTAATCTCTCTCATTTAGATAGTTCCGTTATTGCCGGGGAAGATCAATTGTTCCAATGTTTTCTACTTTTTATCATTTCAAGTCCGCCTCATTTACTTCTTGTACATCTAACTACATTAAAATGCATGAACGTACACTACGTATATCGCGCATGTTCATCTATATCAAAAAGGCTTATCATCCTTAATGGAATGAATTTAGAGTTGTTGATGTAATTATCATACAACAGTTACTTATTGCAGGCTGAATCAGTTATTTCTTATTAAGTTAAATATTCTCCCCCATTTTCTCCCCCTTTATTCGGAATATTTAAAGGAAAAGATAGCAGTAGGTGCTCCCTGAAACATATTGCACTATTACGTTTCGTAATCCACAATTAATCTTCATTAAGGGGTAGTATAACGCAGCGTACAGACGTGCGGTTAGCTTCTGAAGGCAGACTTGATGTGACCTATTGTCTCTGCGGTTGACGCTTCACTATTTTACTCCTCCATAATATATAATAAAGCAATAGGACAATAACGGCACATGATTTATTTATCGAGGCCAAATCAAATACAATAATAATTTAATTCTGTGTATCTATGTTCTCACTGGTCACTGAAAGCACAGCACGGATTTTTATACTAAAGAAGTGATTTAATAACAATTTATTGCAATACTAACCATTATTTATTATAACTTTTTAGTGATTACAATGTTGATTTCTCTACGTTAAATGGATGGTAAATTATTCCGTATAAATTGATAGCTTTTCGAAAATATATTCAACAGATAAAGAGATGATCAACAATGAGTACGTATGAAATGTAAAATTAATGCAAAGTGGCGAAGCGTAAATCTCAAATTTGGCAGGCACAAAAAAGGAAATCGGCAGTTTGGTGTTACAAAAAGCTTGTTTTGGCAGGTTCTCAGAGAAAGTGTGCCTAAAACGGGCCACTTTGTGACTTGCCGTTGGGCCTCACGTGTTTTTGCGTTCGACACTTACGAAGCAGCACTACGGGGACTGTTTTAGACACTGTCAATACGTAAAACTTCGTATAAGTTAGTCATATATGAGCACCATACTGTTAACTAAACGTATTTTGTGTATACTGCGATATGTACTACTCAAACTATGGACTTTATGTCACATATTAACGAAGATGTCTCGCTGATCATATTATGGACTCTGAATTGTCTTATATCAATAGAAAAATACATTTAATTCCCTGGCATATAGTCATTTGTCCTTCCTTACATTACAAAAAAAATATACATTATCTTACGCAATGGAACAAGCATAGTATCTTTTAACACGAGAAGTCTTTCTAAATTTGCATTGTCAAAACATCATAAATATCATGAAATCGACATCTCGCCTGATACCAAAGAAAAATTGATACGCAGACTAATAAGTACTCATTGTTCGCTTCCGTGTAAAAGTTTATATTTTTTTTTGTTCCAAATAATAAATGAATTGTGCGGTGCATATACATTTTATTGAAATTACCTATTACATGAGCGCGCGAAGCTTTCTTTGACGTGAACTTCGGTCATGCGAGCCAACTTTGCATTGTTGCGTTCCAAGTTGAATTTCGAGTTCTCCCGCATCAATGGGGTTTTTCTCGTTTTCCTTTCAAACATTGGGTGGAAGACTTGTTTATAATAAGCAAGTACACAATATCCTAGGGCCATTTGCCTCGTCATAAACGTGAATGGCGCCAAAACGTCTCTCTTATCTCGGGTATTTCTCAGAGGGGCGGAAGCGAAGCCCTAAAAGTTATGTACCACTCGAGTATGACCCTAAAGGATCTCGATATAAGAACCTCCAGCTCTCGAGACTTCTTATAGCAAATGGATTGTAAAAAACTCACAACCGATTGAGATATTGATTATTATTTAGCCGATACCGTTCGATTTCGTATACTGGCCTAAGTGGTAACCTTTCCTTTTATATTGCAAAGTGCTATTATTATTTCATAATGTAGGTATATAACGCGTCCTTTAAAGTCCAGCCCTGCTAAGAATCGACCTTGAGTGATCGAAAACACTCATGAGATGTCTAGGAGCGCCACATAGAGAGAGATCTCAAGACCCCGTCGTGCCGAGGAGCTTATCACGCTTGTGTCGGAATCGCGGTACATATTCATAGCGCAAGCAAACTGCACGAAGATAAGTCGCCGTCGTCATCGTTGCTCTTGAAGAGACTACTCATGAATATGAAGCGGATAATGCAGTTATATTATGCGCGGAGCTTGATACTAATGTGCGCATTATTTGTATTGGGATTAGTTCCCCGATCGTGCAAATGCGCTGGCCAAGTGTGTTTCGTAGGTGGACAGTTTTCATCTCCGCAGTCGAGCGCGAATTATACTGCGTTATATCCTTCTAGTTTATTTTTCCTGTTCAGATAATAATTATCACTTATTAAACAAATGCGCATTGTTCCGATGGAAGCGAACAACAAAAGCTCGGAACACGTCAAAATATTGTTTTGTCGGCACTTAAAAATGTCATTAAGTGCTGAAAACGAAATTTCGGAACAAACGCTCATTCTGCCATTGTCGCGTATATTTTCAGAAATGAATTTAAAAGACGGTTCATTGTTTCAGTTTGTGGTACGGAGGACGAACTCCGCAAAAGTGACAAGCCCAGAAGGTCGCTTTGGGAAGACGCGACATTTTTACCAAAATAAATCTAAACCTGTCACATAAGTTATTCCAAGTTATTCATCGTACGAGTGATCACATTATTATATGTGGAAATGGAACACAAAATATACATTTAGAATTTGAACTTTATCATTAAAAAGCTGCGCCAGCGACTAGGCTAAAGTAGAATAGTTATTTTTTGCGAAAATGTTTTGTTAATTTCATCCCCATATTTATAAAATACTAGCGGCCCGTCCCGGCTTCGCGCGGGTAAACATAATTGGGTACAGATATTTAAATTATAAATATGCTGATTAAAACGACCGTGAATCACTAAACTAGAAAAAAATTGTATTGCGCGTCGTTCGACGTTAGATTCTCTGGCTCGCGATTGGGACACTCTAATTCTTTCCAGACGATCATTTTCAGAAGAAGACTCTCCAATACGACGAACTTTTGCTAATCTCGCTTGGAAACTATTTTTAAATTTTTATTTTAAATCAGAGAAATTAAGAATAAACTAATAATAATACAAAAGAAAATATTGAAGTTCAAAGAGATAGTTCTGAAAAGAACAAAGACAAGTATTATGCAAAGTGGTGGTTTTTAGGTGAAGCATAAAAGTGTAAAAAAAAACTCAAAAATATTCAATGTCGCTCGCGTCCAATGCGTAAGGAACCCACTCTCTCGTCGAGTTATGTCTCGTTGCCGGCATTATTTTTATTTTAATTTCATAATATCTTTTAAATGGAATGTCCGATGTCAATAATTAAAAAAGTAATGTTCAGGTATTGAGACAGTCTTGACTGTTATTTATTTGGATAAAAATTTATAAATGGTATGGCTAAGACGGTTTGATTTTGTTCGGCTTTTCGATCAATTTGTTAAATGTAAAAAAAGTAGTTATAGTGACGTAACTACAATAGTTAGATATATGGTCTCGTTTTGATGTTTTTTTGTAAATATTGATATATTCGATAATATTGTCGAACATTTTTTTGTCCTATCATTAGTACTTTTCGCAGCGTATGCGATTAAAGACATTTTACGGCTAATTTTTATACGCCTTTCGTTGGTTTTAATAGGAATTTTTATAGATTTCCATAGTAATCTAGTGCTAAATATAGTGTTACTCAGTGATAATGTAGCTTTCTAATGAAAAAAAGAATTATAAAAATTGGTCCAGTACTTTTTGAGTTTATCCGTTAGATACAAAAATACAAATCTTTCCTCTTTATAATATTAGTGTAGATAGTTGTTTGAGATAGATCGCATCCCGCCGTTCTTGCAAGTTAATATCAAAAGATATATATATACTGTCCCGGACATTTTTTCAGATCATTTAAAGAGGAATCATTCCTTCCTACATAGTTTTTTGTATCTTGCGCCCTTCGCAACGCCCGGTATAGAAATTCACAAAGATGAATCATTTTTCCCGTTTGTTCCACATTTACCACTGCTTCTTCGCTCCTATTGGTCGCTGCGTGATGCACAAAAAAAATTTTGCGCGTTCAAACAAACAAATTTAAACCTTTACTATATTAGCATAGATTTTTTAGTATTCCTTTAATGCCGTTGTATGTGAATATTCCAGCTTTTGCACATTTTGTAATTTAATAACGCCAAATATAGGTGTAAAAATTACAGAACGGGTCGAAATCGTTCGTAAAGTACGGTCAGTGTCCGCTTATTAGACGGATCCCGAGTAATAAAAGCGGTGCCTTATTACAAGGTGTTTAGCCCCAGAGGAAAACGCAAATGTAAATTCGAACATACGGCGATTTGTTTTCGTTTGTGTTAGAGTAAAAATTTTACGACGTGCGACTTTACGAATAATACTGAAGCCCCTTTATGTGTGAGGTTGTAAACGAGTTTTACAGTCATTGCGAACTTTAGTAGGACAATATTTTATTGTTTCAACGATTTTCGTTAAAACGAGCTAATAATACGGTTGGGTACTTACGGCCGATATGATGACAATAACGGGATTTGAGCCGGCTTCCACAGCGAAGCGTGCTCCTTCTTGCGAAATTTTCAATTGATATAATGTCATCATGTGCAAGGTGTCTCATTTAGACGTATTAGCCCGGCCCAATAGGGGGATCAATTACCGATACTCGAATAGCATTTGGCTAATACGCAATCAGCGCGCGAAATTCATCGCCCACCCCGAGCCTTGTTAAACGTGTAACGAAAATTTGCTTCGGGCCCCGGGCTTATAAATATTAATATTTCCCATCTCAGCTGTTAATTACCCGCCGTTCGCCAACTATGGATAAAGCTCGCCCTGTATTCATTAGGGCAAACCTAATTAGTCAGACAAACCTCGGCGCGGGGAGGGCGCATTCCTTCGATCTTATTAAACGTTGTATGGTCCATTATCGGGGAGTCCAATCTTCTTAGGAACAAAGCTGGCTAATAGAATTCCATTGTGTTGCGTCTGAATCGCGGTCTAATAGTTGTTGTATCGACTTTCCGTTTTTAATTCGATCTCCTCTTCGTAACTTCAGGTACCGCGTTAACGAAGATCGACACTTTTATTCGAAGCTGAGAACTTTGATTACGTCCCTTATCATGTATTATTAATGGATGTCCCACGTTTCCCTTTGCAGATAATAATGTCGACTATGAACATGATGAAAATAAACATTATGGAGATGTCGAAAGGGATCTAATACGTAGTGAGATCGACTGAAGTAATCTGCCATTAGGGCGAGAGCCGCTCGCTTATCTGCGACATCTGGACGTTGTTTATGTTTTGAGGGACTCGACAACCGCCGTAACGATCCGTGCATATCGTATGCACGTCTAGGTAGACACCGTTCCCTCTAAAATATTCTTTCAATGCAAAACGTTAAGGTGGAAAATTCACTGCCGTTCTATTTTTATTCCAATTCCTGCCCGATTTCCTCGCGAGCACACAGTTATTAAATGTAAACTATTCCCGTGTTATTTGTTTTTGTACGATAACTTTGTGTATATATTATAGAAAATGCTACTTACTTATAACTGTAAACAATGAAGTTTGGTGGATGTATTTTCCATCGTGACTACACGGTCCGCGAAGGGAGCCTCGGTGTAAATATTGTGGAAGCGAGGTCGAATAGAACGAGATGTCTTTATTTTTTGTATAGAACTTAGAATTAATGTACAGTAACAAAGAGTCGCTTAAATATATTCCTTAAATCTGTAACAATCCGATATGAACAAAATAATTTATTAAGTTTCTATTCGATATTTAATTTGTACGCATTGAATCCTGGCACAAGACCATAAGTGGTTTGCGAGTTGGTTATGTCCTGTACACCTTCAACTGTTTGAAGTAAATTTTGTATTGAACAAACTCACTTAGACAGAATACAATTGCTAACAATTAGGAAGTCAAGTAAGAAAATTAACCTCGCCTCGCGACTCGTTTGGTCTCACCGCCGCGAGCAAATTAGCGCTTTCTTCGATGTGTGTTTTGTACCTAACATTTATTAGTCTCTTTGACCTGCGACTACCCTACAGTCAGAACTAGAACACAGCGCATGAACCTGACGAAAGGAATAAAACGTTCCAGGAATTCTGTCACAAAGATTCAATTTTAAAGTCCGTTATAAACAAAACAATTTACATTACATTGTTATGATTGTGTTTCTAGAAAATCTTTTCTAGAAACAAGTTAGTTAACGAACCACCACCACACGGAGAGGGTACAGAATCACACTAATTTTGGTTTTACGTTTTGATCACTGGAATCTGCGATCTTTCTCAGTTATTGACCGCTTTCTATGATTATAAATAAAGGCTATAAAAGGTCGACGAGCGCTTTCATAAATTAGATGGCCATTCATCTCGAGGATCAACATCACATCATAATAGTTGAACAAACAGCTGCTGTGCGAGTGAATGACGTCGCGGCCTGTTTTTCTGATAGTTAACAGAATTATTTTATCGTTATACAAAACAATAAACTGTTTATGGTGCATTGGAGACAAATTGATGAGAGTCACGCCGGGCGCCGAGTGGCACCCGCCCCCTTTTATGCGCTCTACCTAATTGTTTTGCTGTTCACGCCATCTTAACTAAATATCAGAGCACTAGGCTGACAAATGTAAGAGAAAACCCGTGTTATTAAGTTTTTCTTCTTAGGCGAGAGTTAGTTTAAATTCATCGATGGTCGTTAATTATACTGCATTCATTTATATATACTAATGCTATAAAACTGAAGCTGTTTCTTTGTTTGATTGCTCTAATCTCAGGAACTACTGATTCGAATTAAAAAATAGGTTTTTTGTTGGTTAGAGCATTTATCTTGGAAGGCTTTAGGTCATAAAAAATCACGCTGCGACCAATAGCAGCGAAGAGATAGTTGGAAATGTAGAAATCGAACGGGGAAAATTATTACACTTTGTGTGAGCCGTTGCGTGCGCTGCGAAAAAGGTTCAAGGCACCGAAAAAAATATTGAAATAAGGATTGATTCCTCTTCAAACGAATGTGTATTATACAAATTTATTGTCTGTATATTAATTAACCGGCAGACATATTTAAAATTATAAAATAACTCTATGTCCCGATCTGCGCTACTATCGAAATATTGTTCTCATTATTATCGTGTTGTTACTTGTTGCTTGCTTGAACACTATGTTACCGTAACATTTACATGCTTTTTAATTTCAGTACACACAGTCAGCTCAAGGTAATGCTATTTTCTCTTTTGAAGATTTTATAATATATGTATTATAGCGTCTTACAAATGATATTAATGATATGATTAATGAGACTGCTGCGATACATCTCAAACGTCGGGCCATAGTTAAAATATATTGTAGGTAAGTTGACATTTCATACATTTCGCGTTTTAAATAGTTATTAGTTTAATGTGTGCTAACTTACTCCGTCTGCTAATTTATATTTTAACACTGATTTGTATAATTAATTTAGAGAGCACACTCTATTTGGGCGTAGTGTTGAATAAAGAGAATATTCAATGACTAGAGTAAGGGAAGTGCGATATTTTACAAAATATTAAATTAATTAAGGATATTTAAAATTTTCAATTCCCTACGAGTCGGCCAAATAACCTACCGTTTCTCCACCCAATACCACCATCCACTATCGAAATGTTTGTACACACATTTCCTTAACATTAACAATGAATGTAAGCGATTGCAGCTAAAGTGTCTTCTGCAAAATAATTTTACATTTTGACGAGCTCAAAGACTAAGCTTTAATATAACGTGGCCATAAATTAAACGATAATAAGTTACGACGCCATCGACCGGCAATGACTGCATAGTGCTGCACGGGAGATCCTTCTCACGGATTATACTGCGATGCTGTAAATTCAGTTTTATTTAATGGAGTTTAATTCATCGAGAAATAAATTTCACATTATCAATGACGAAATTTTCGTTTACAGTTCTGCTTAAGCTTCGATGCATCGATATGTTCTTTAAATAATAATAACGTACAGTATTTTTAATGACTTTTATACACCATATTAAGAGTGCCATAACAAATGTTAAGGAACTATTCTTTATAATTTAAACACCAAAAATAAATTAAAAATAATTAAGACTCTCGCAGGACCTGAACCGGTATCGTCAGTGTTCCGTGCTCTGCTCTAACCACTTGAGCTACCGAGTGCGAGGAGAACATAAGACGTTGAACCTTAATACAGAAGAATCTTTAAAGGATTGAAATTACATTGCGCGAGAGGTGACATTGTATATAATGAAATGAAAAAAATCGACGATGAGATGTAGGACTCGGTAGCTCAATTGGTAGAGCAACAGCAGCAACGCTGACGATGCCCTTTCAGGTCCTCCCCGAGTGGTAAATTTTTCCAATTTATTTTGGATTTTTAAATTATATAGTGCCATCATGTGCAATAAGATGTGAAAAATAATAAAGTTTTATTTCAATTTATTACCTAAGAGGAAAGCGTCGTATTAAAATACTTTCCTCATTAGTAAGAAGGGGAAACTGATGTTAATTCTCTACCATTCGCCATGGTTACCGCCACACACCCTGTATATAAATGGGCTTACTATGATAATGGCATTTAATATTAGCAGCACCAGGTTTTTGTTAAAATATTGCGATTATAGATTAAAATATCTTCTCATTTTATAGTAAAAATTTATTTACACGCTTTCTACGCGTCAAAGTTCTTAGCTAGTTAGGACCTTTAATAAGTAAACGTTAGGAATTTTTCAGTTATACAATATATTAATAATAAATGTACGTAACTACTCATCTCTATATCTGTCATAGTTTATTGATTTTTGGATAAAAAAATGTCTTCTTAATACTTCGTAAATTTTCAAAAGACCGAAACATTTCAGTAAAAAGATTTGTCGTTTTATACGTTTTCCTTCTCTCATATTATGGATGTTCTTTAGTAAAACACAGCTATGCAAACTATAATGCCAAAGATATTTTCCCTTGTGCTGATTTTTAAAAGGTGTTTTGTTTAATGTGTCTAAAATACTGCCTCCGCATCGTGTACTCACATACACTTGCGGTCTGTTGTTTAATGAAAAGACTCCGAGTAGGCTTTGTTATGGTGCTTTGACGGTTCTGGCGACCGTCGACGTACCCCGAAACGTCCGTTGAAGCAACGTGCACTGAAAACTGACTTAATATCACACAAGCCGAAAAGGTTCTGCTTTTCTCGTTTAATAAGCTACACGGTCCTTTTCTTTTTTTAAACAGTATTAGGCGACGAAGTACGCCTTTCTTTGCCCTTTTATTAAAATATTTTGCTTTTTTTATTTTAAGTCTTCTTTGTGGACTCTTTGTTCTATCACATGTTTTGTGTCTAACTACTACCTATTGAGGTCAATGACAGATTATGCAACCAAATAATGTATAAACATGGACAAGACGTGACTTAATCCTGTGACTTCCTAATGTGACGCGAACTTTTACAAACTATCACTTCTACTATAGAATATCCCGGCCGAGCGCAAAATCAACACGATCCCCCGAATTTACATTATCTTGACTAATTATTTTTCCTTTTATCTGTCTAACTGGCGAAGTGATTTGACAAAAGCCGTCGGTGTAAGCCGAAAACAAAGCACCCCTAAAGAAAATTGTGAGTCCCTTACAGAGGCATCATTGTCGTAATTTCCTTTGTTGTTTCTCAGTGTGTTCTTCCGTCGCGACCGCTACGGGACGTATTATTTATTTGAGCTAAATCTAAGACGCACAATCCCCTTACGATGAATGGCTGGCGATTTAATCTAACAACAAAATAATAATAGAAAGATAAAAATAAAGCAGTAGATTTAATCTTATAGGCGTGTGTACTAAGAAAGTGTTTGCATTTCATAAAGTCCATTTAGAATAGGAAACAATTGAAATACTTACAATGTATTAAAGCCAA